TGAATTTGATTTGCAAAATGTTTAATAAATTGATTGTAAGTGAATGTTAGACAGAGTGTAGTCACAGTAGTGAATGCAATGTAATGATAGATATTATAAACTAAATAACATTATAGATAAGTAGAAGTGTATGTGTTTTCACATATAATCCAATTGTTGTCTGCATTTTGTCAACCATTAGTAAAGCGCTATATGTTGTCAATGCTGTCAATTGTATTCAAAAGAGCTTTTATGGATCGGTATCTCAATTAGAAGTCACAGATGAAAAGCAAAGTCTAAATGCTTTTCATATTTCTAGTGTTTCACGCAGTGAGAGAGAGAGAGAGAGAGAGAGAGAGAGAGAGAGAGAGACTCAAATTTCTTCAAAAGTGTACTGAACTTTGAGATGAACACCAAATTTTCCATATTTTTAATTTGAATTTCAAAAATAATTATAATAAGTCACTTATATAATATATATGAATAAATATTTAAAATTCATTTAATAAATCATATTATATTCTAATACTGTATGACTTCACATAATTGTTACTAAAAGAAGTGGATGTTAGGCTTCAATGAGAACATAAAATCCTTGTTATTTGTATGCTATTTAATTATGTTTATGATTACTAATACATTATGCCAAAATCTATAATTCCCAAAAATGCTAGCTAAAACAATTTTAAACTTTATAAAGTAATAAATATGTTTTTGGTGATTTCAATCAATTTTTTTATTGTCATTGTTTTAAAAGAATATTTAATACAATAAAAATACAAGTATTCATACAATAAAATACAGTTTTACGAAAACCTTAATTATTGGTAATAATTAATTTATAAAATAAAAATTAACAATTTATAAAACAACCAAATTAATAACACTTAAAATATTAATACAGTTTTAATATGCTAATTATGACCATTAGTAATTTAATAAGACCATTATTTTTAAATTACAATAACTTATTGACAGTATTAGAGCTATTTCACAATAAATAAACAAGTTATTGATAATTAATGAGATTTTGATAAATTAAATTCTAGTTAAAAATAAGGTTTCATTCATTTGAAAAGAGGCTCTAAAAGTAATGAATGAATAGACTGTATATGCTGTATATTATGCAATAATGAATACATAGATTATAGGGTTTATTAAGCGAATGATTAGATATAAATATTTGGATGGTTTGACTAAAAGTGATAAACAGATTGTTGGAGTGAGAGACAGAATGGCATCAATCGTATGATTGAGTAATTTTTATGACTAATAATATTTGTTTCGCACAAAACGTCAGTAGAGTTGTAGTGCCGGTGCGTTGAGCGCCTATACCATAGACTCGAATACCCCATCATTTCTATGTTAAGGAACGTGTCTTCGAAAGAGTGAAACATTTGAAAACAAGAGTTCAAATGAGCGGAACATTGTATGCGAGTTAACGTTACCATCAGTTATGCACTCAATTATATCATACATAGTATACTATATTTATATACATCTACTCCACTATACACTATACCAATACATCACATTTTGGTAAAAATACAAATTCTGACAAAACTTATAAATAATTATCACAAAAATGATGTGAAAATGAATACTTTTTGAAGAAATTATTTCCAAGAAAAAAATTTTTTGCATAAAAACTAAATTTAGAACTAATTTCAGTGCATTTAGCATTAAATTGTACTCTCACTTCAATATGTTTTACCCAAACATACAGTTTTACATTCATATAACAACCAAAACATTACAATTTGTATATTTTTTGCCAAATACTTGTTTTGTGGAAATTATTTTGTCGTTAAACAGAAAGCGGTGAACAACTTATTAATTGGTCTGACAATCATTACTCTGTTTATCAGTTAGTGTTTAGGACTTTGAATAAATTCAATTAATTTCTAGCTTTAAAATTAAAAGTTTTTATTATGCATTTAATTGATGTTTAATAAATAAATTAAGAAAATATTAAAAGTTAAATATTAAATAATTTATGACAATGAAAGTAAATCAATTATACATTTAGTATTAATATAATATTAAAAAAATACTGATTATAAGTAATATTCACAAATGAAATGAAAATAAATTTAAGAGTATTTACTTACAACTTATAAGCTCTTGGTTAAAAGAGTTTTGTACAATTGATTACATAATGAAGTGTTAAATAAAATACATTCACAATACATATATAGATGAAAACAATTAGGCAGAATCGACACATAAAATGAATATTCTTTAAAAACAATATACAGGTAATATAATAACCAATATGAAGCAAATAATGGTATGGATGGGTGTATTAGTGATAGAATATTTATGCTCACATTTTCAAAAATATCTTATTATGATATATTATATATGTATTTCATATTAATTTGTTTCTTATCATTATTATCCAATTATTCGGAATTAATTTCAAAATAAATACAATAAAAGATATTTTAAAAATTATAATTAGATTTTCTCTTGAAGTGTGAGTGAAGTGACAGAAAGAATGGTTTTGTTGTTATTTAGTTATATAATACCTGTTGAGCGCTCTTTTCGTTTACTTTTTTGGCAATTATTACACGACTTATGACTGTTTGAGTCCAACAATGGCTTATTTGTGTCGGATAAGTATTTGCGATGAATTGAATTGGTAGTGAAAATAGATTGACGAGTGGTGGGGATGAGGGGAACACTTCGTTTGCCGATCTTCTTGAGTATCTCAGCGTTGGCCTGAATCTGGTCCTGATTCTCCTTCATCTTCCTGCGCGCCAACTCCAGAAGCAGTCGTTGTCTGAGCACATCCAGAGGGTTCACAATCGACAGCTGCGGTCCTTCACCTCTTTTGGTCAGAACTCCACTCGATTTCAATTTATATAATTTGTATAAATGTCTCAACAGTTGTATTCTATGTGACAATCTATTCCTATTGTTTTGAGACCTAAATTCTTGGTTCAAGTAATCATCGTTATTATCGTTATCATCATTACTGTTGTTGTTATCATAGCTTTCATTGTCGTTATTCTCATTATGAATGTTATTATACTTTTTGGAAATCTTCTCCAACTCTTCGTTCTCGAGATTCTCAATAATACCCGAATTGATCACATGATTGACCGCATCGTCAGCTGAAGAGAATTTTGGCAAAACTCTACCAAAAGTGTGAACATTTCCTACTGTAATACTAGAACTACTGGTTCGTTGCATCCATTCATCAGTTTTTTGTTGGGTGTCTTCATCACTACCATCCAAATCGGAGTCAATAATCGGAAAATTTTCAAACTCTGGGATACTTTCCTTCTGTTGTGAGAGTGATGTTTGCAATGCGAGTGAAATGATAAGCAAAACGTGAACCAAATTATGAACAATAGTTAATGAAACACATCTTAAGTGCATTTTCTTTCATATACAGTATTATTAATAAAACAAAATTTGATTAAACTTTAAATTCTATTTAGTTTTCGACAGAAGTTCTCTCATATTTATTGTGACTTTTCAGTTGTATTTGGCATCAAATCTTCCAACAGATTCTCATACAATGACATGACATTCAATAACACATTTGAAAGAACTGACGACTAAATAGTAAAACTTTTTATAACTCACTAACTCTCAAACCATATTCACAATACAGTACTACTCATAAAGTCTATGTTAAGGTATAAGTGCAGAGTATGTCTGACTTTACCCAACGTTAAGCAATAGAATCTTCTCTATAAGCATATTCTCTCATAGGGTGTAAGCGATCGGATAGTCGTTTTAGGCGTTTTAGGCCACACCTATTCTGCACATACATTCATCTTTTAATGTATTCTTTATCAGATTCTTTACATCATTTCTCCAATACATTACCAATTCTATCCACTATTCTGTACAGTATTGTCAATATTTCTATTCAACTTAATTTCAAATTTACTTGAAATTGTTTCAAACTAATAAATAAACAAACAATTATATTTAGAATAAAATTTCAAATATTCTAAACTTATTATTTTAATTATATTTATACTAAAAATTTAGTAAAAATAATTTAAATGTTAATTTATTAGTTTAAATCAAACTTATGTGTAATCTAGAATTTTTATAAATAATTTTATATTTGTGCATTAACTTTTAAAAAAAATTAAATGTAGTTTAAATTAAAATAGACTAAAATCAAAGTAAAATTTAAATTAGGGTTTATAGTGACCATAAATTGATTTAATTAAATAACTTATTTAACTATTAAAGATATAAAAAACACTGGCTATCAAATGTTTAGTAAACATATAAATACAGTACTGTATATGTTATATTTGTAAGAGTAGAGTAGCTAAAAATCTCATAACATTAATATTCTTTTACGACTATTTTGGTAATTTAAACAACTTTTAATAAGTTATCTCTTCCGGTCTATCCATTCAATAAGTCTTTGAATTGAGAATTAATGACGAATAAAAAGAAATGGTTTATGATATTTAAGTTATTTTATTGTTATATAGCTTTCGTATTGTATTATTATTTATCAGATGAACTTTCAGTTTGGAAGTACTGATATGTCTACAAGTACTCTACAAGTTATACACATGTATATGCCTCCAACAATTTACTGCTCAAACTGTTACATGAGATTTCAAATTAAATTCTGTAATATTGCTTGATATCCTAGTCAAAATTTGGATTTTATTTATTTTAATAAATACCAAATATATTACTAATATCAACAATGTGAGAATTTGTGATAATATTTATCTAACATTTTAGGCATCATTTAGAAAAGCCCACATTTTGATATACAATATTACGATATGGTATTGAAAAGCCTAAAGTAATCCTTTTTTGAGTATAAGTTCTCACACTTTAAATAGCTTTCTATATCGAGTGTCAAAAGGAAATGACAATTGCTTTAAGTATTTCAAAATAGAATTAAAGCTAAAAACTCCAAATTATTGGATATTATTTCAAAGACAACATCCAGTCTTTCATCGATTCATTACTTGTTGAACAGTCAGACACACAAGTATTGCTCCATTAATAAGGATTAGTTCATCACTAATGATAAAAGTGTGGGCTTTTGATAAGAAATTCATGTATTGGTTATGATATTAGAAAAGAGTTATTCTTTCAATATATCAAAGCATTAGCAATGCCTTAGAGATGAGTTGAGAGGGAGAGAGAGATGTTATGTTATGTTATTGTTATTTGTCATGTACTGTATAACACAAGCAAATATAACTTCCATCATATTATGAACTTCCATTAAATGCAATCTTTTCTCAATATTATGCCTAATAAACATTTCAGTTACGATTTGATTAATATATTAATAGTAAAATTTGCTCATACAATATATGGAAAACACATTTTAACTAAAAATGTTTTAACCTTGTAATCTAGGAATTTGTCGTGAAAAATAACTATATTCATTTATATATGGACATGATAAATGTTATGTTTCATTATTCTTTATACAACTGTGTAACTAAATTATATATTATAGACTTTTTATTTAATCTATAAACTGATAATTATATCAAATATTTTTTCCTTGAGTAAAATCCGGTATTAATGGACAGAAATTAGTTTAAACTTTAAAGTGTGGTTTGACTTTCAGTCGCATAGTCTGAGGATATTCCTCCTTATTACTACCATTTTTGTGGATATTTATCTGGCTTTTAATTATTAAAATATTGTTTGTATTTTATTCAATAAATTAGAAAACTATAGTAAACTCAACGTATAATATCCATAAACACAAATTCTAGTGCTCATAATGGTTTACTCAGACCAATATTTATAACTAAGTAACTTATAAGTGTAACTAAGTAACTTATAATATTATTATTATTTAATATATAGTAAAGTATGGAACATATTACAGTATCAATGTTTATTTCTTAAAAAATGATTGGCATAAGAATTGATATGTTAAAAGGCACAAAGTTTACATTGACTAACTGTTAATCTGTTAGTTTTACTTACTTCATTGATCAGTCATTTCAAGAATGTCATCAATAAATGTAAATAATAAAATTATACTTCATATTTAATCCATAGCCTTCATTTCTAATTCATTTTTACCGGTAATATAATTTTAACATTTTATAATAATTAAAATATTTTCATTTTTAACTAATAATATTATTCAAGTTTATTAAATTTTGACAAGCATGACAAATATATTTTTAAATAATTTTGTCATTATATAATTGTAGAGTCTGTATTTTCATATCAAAGTGTATTTTAAACAAATATTTAAAATACATAATATTATAGAATATTTTAACAAATAATCAATTAACAATTCAAATATTTTACAATATATTAAATGATGTAAATGTAATTTAAAAGTAGTTTTGATAGTTGTCTATAAACTCGCAAAATATTGATGTTATCGTAAGATGTTACTGAATGACAATTGTTTTAAAGTTTATAGTAATAAATTAAAGTCAATCACTCTATTTATATACGTTATAATAAGACCTTGAGTTTATCATTCATTTATAAAATAAGTAAAATTATATAAGATATACATTAAGTTATTATTAATATTTATGTAAATTAGAAATAACGTAATAATAACAGACTGTGTGGTGGTGTGCGCCAGCGATTGTAAAACAAATCATTAGTCATTAGTATGTTTATCATGAGATCATATCATAAAATTACAGTTTTAGGATTCATAAACATTTTAAATATCAACTAAAAAACAATTTCATCGATTAATTACTCATTTATTGATCACTTTTAAATGCAAATATCGTTCTCATAAAGTAAACACAAATTCATAAGATTTTATCACAAATATTTCGTTCAATAGATTTATTGAGTTTATATCATATTTAACGTGATTTATTATACTGTACTGTATATCTTAATGTGACAACATTTTAAAAGTCAGATCAAAAATTATAAAATCAAAAGGCATTGATTGATAGGATTGTTGTTCAATAAATATATTACAATAAAATATGTGTAATCTTTAATTATTTAATTCTGATTTAATTTGACTAAATTATTTGGAAAATAGTAATAACAGTAATAATAGTGGGTTGTTGTTAACTAATTAAACATTTGTCAAAACTTTGATATGGTTTTTGATCTGTTGTNAATATTATGCCTAATAAACATTTCAGTTACGATTTGATAATATATTAATAGTAAAATTTGCTCATACAATATATGGAAAACACATTTTAACTAAAAATGTTTTAAACCTTGTAATCTAGGAATTTGTCGTCTTTTTATTGATATAAGTAAATATATACCTGTACTATTTACAATACAAAGTAATAAGAAATATGTTGACACATTGATTTAATATATAATATCTGAAAAATAAATTAGATATTTGACTATTAATATAGGCTATATTATATAGCTATACTTTTCCCTGACAAGTGAGAAAAATCCGGTATTAATGGACAGAAATTAGTTTAAACTTTAAAGTGTGGTTTTGACTTTCAGTCGCATAGTCTGAGGATAGTCCTCCTTATCACTGTACCATTTTTGTGGATATTTATCTGGCTTTTAATTATTAAAATATTGGTTGTATTTTATTCAATAAATTAGAAAACTAAAGTAACCTTAACGCATAATATCCATAAACACAAATTCTAGTGCTCATGATGGTTTAACTCAGACCAATATTTATAACTAAGTAACTTATAAGTGTAACTAAGTAACTTATAATATTACTGGTATTATTATTTAATATACAGTAAAGTATGGAACATATTACAGTATCAATGTTTATTTCTTACAAATGATTGGCATAAGAATTGATATGTTAAAAGGCACAAAGTTTACATTGACTAACTGTTAATCTGTTAGTTTTACTTACTTCATTGATCAGTGATTTCAAGAATGTCATCAATAAATGTAAATAATAAAATTATACTTCATATTTAACCATAGCCTTCATTTCTAATTCATTTTTACCGGTAATATAATTTTAACATTTTATAATAATTAAAATATTTTCATTTTTAACTAATAGTATTAATCAAGTTTATTAAATTTTGACAAGCATGACAAATATATTTTTAAATAATTTTGTCATTATATAATTGTAGAGTCTGTATTTTCATATCAAAGTGTATTTTAAACAAATATTTAAAATACATAATATTAAGCAACTTTTAAGTCATTCATACGAATATAGAAATCGCTTTCAATTAATGCAATCAAATTTGTCACTCAATTCACTATCACTTTTACACGCAATCAGTTTTGGTCTCATAAATCTAGATTTAAATGCTAAAACTTACAGTAAATGCAAACTCATGTTTCTCTAATCTTCTCTCATTTTTTATGTTATCTTTATTTTGATTTTTGCTTTTAATTTCCGTTTGTCAAGTCAAATATTACACAATTATTGCTTTATATCATCATAAAATTGCCCATTAAGTATATTATCGATGTCAACATTTATTATTACGTATACATGTAATTGACAATACAACCTCTAATAAATCGAGTATAAACTCATTAATTTATAAGACAAAATTTAAAGTAATTGGTTTAAACTTTAATACATAATACTATTCAGTATTATAGTATTATATAAGATTGAGATCCCACGACAATTCCTTAAGATTAAATAATTGTATATCAAATAATCAGATTATTGTACTCTTAATCTTATTAATTATGCACATTTGACAACATGACAGTCAATGCAACATACAATGGTTTATATAAACTTAATACATTATAAATGAATATAAACTAAGTATTAATGAATTTCAATAGTCCGATATAAGTAGAATATTGTATAACAGTTTAAAAAATTACATTAATTTTTAATAGCAAATATTGATTTTATTTAATAAACTAAACCATGTTTTATTTCATACGCCCATAGTTTAAGTTGTAAACGTTTATACTCAATAGTCAGCTTACTTATAAACAAATAAATTACAAGATATAAAATAATATTTTAAAATACTTGTACAGAATGTCGTAAGCAAAATAATTTAATTTTAATTATTATGGTACAAATGTTGGATATTGAAAATATTCTTATTAAATAAGATAACAAATTAAATAACAAATTTTGTTAATTAGTTTATAACTACAGAACTCTGACTTATAGATTATAGTCTATACATTTTATAATTGTTAAACATTTTATTATACTTACGGTATTACAGATAAACCACAGAATACTGCATTCCTTAATTGGTAGGTGTTAACATTGAATTGTAGAAATTTTAAAGGATTTTAAAAATCTTCATACAGTATGAATTTATAGAAATATTTACATATGAAATATAGCTTTGGGATTAGTTTACAATTATAATCATTTGAATAAATCACTAAATACATAATACATAATTCTGTATTATATCAAAGAGTATGAGTGAATTACTTGTGTATAACAAAATGAATAAAAAATTAATGAGTTTTGGTGTAATATACTTATGAACACAATGATGAGTGAGTCAGCCCTGTGGACAGTTGTCATGGACAGAATGCATGTGTTTGGTGTCAATTGTGATACTCGTATGTGTTAAATGAGTAATTGAATGCCAATGTGGCTGTCTATCTGTTTGTCCACTGCATGTATGTCTCACATATCACAGGGTAGGGTAGGAAGAGAACAGGGATTATGGTTGTGCCCCTCAATCACTATTACATAATGAATGACTGACTGTAGGCGCTCATTGTATGACTCTATGTGTACTTACTTAGGCTGCTCTCGTGCCTCACGTCGAGGTAGTCTGGTATGTATGGCTTCATTCCTACCTTTCCTACAGTCGGGGCGCAAAGAAAGTCCTAACAGTTCTGTTGGTAAGAGTACTAACTTTTGCATCAATTCTGCAAAACACTTGTTTGGCTGCAAAACAAATCGTTATTTCTATCTCTCATTCACTCTGATATTGATTTCTCACTCAATCTATTTACTCGAATACAAAGAACTCTCATTTGAATATCGTTTTCATATAAACCATTCATTCATTCACTTTATTCACTGTTTTCGCATTCAATTTATACTAAACTTATGGCTTAAGAATTCATCCAAAAAATTATACCTAAAATTTTTCATTTATTCCATTTCATAGACAAACATATTGTTCTCTATTCTTACTATAATTCGCACACAAATCGAAAATATTTGCTTTAATTTTGACATTTTCATCAAATCTGTTGTAATAACATATCTTATTATAACGTATTAATATTTTATCATTACTGTACATTATTCAATCTTTTCTATGAGATTCAAATATATATGCTTTAGTCATATGATCACAAATGGGATCACAAATATTCATAAATGATCTACTTTTGTCTTGTTATCATACAATGCTATTAATCATATATTCAAATCAAATCCCAAACCATTGGCCGGCACCGCATCGCACCGTTACTGCAATTATATTTTAATCAGTTTTTATTCAATTTAATTGTTGCTAAACAGCACTTTAATCATATAATTAAATTAAATTAAGCAATAAAATAAAAAAAACATCAATAATATCGCTTGTATTAATGTATTTCTATTTTGTGGTAACATTACATCCATGTCCTTTAGATGACGAACCCGAAGAGCCAAAGCTTACAATCTTAACCAAACAACACAAGAATGCAATCAGATCCTTACGAAAGGTATTACCAATTGATACTTTGGTGATCAGTGAAATGACTTGAATTTTAATTTCTATTTATATATATATTTATATATTTATAGATTAAATATTTCGTCGCCCGAAGAAAATTCAAAGAAGCGCTTAAGCCGTACGACGTGAAGGACGTGATCGAGCAGTACTCGGCCGGACACGTCGACCTCTTGGCCAGAGTCAAGAATGTCCAGCAGAGGTCGGTTCACAGACATATTAGCCATAAAATGAACTAGCATGTATTAGCCCACATTACAGTACAGATATCTCATATGACACAGTATTCATAAGAAGGTGATTTGAATTTGTGAACACAAACTGTAAAATAGTCTCCACTTGGGATACAGGCAACATCATTCGTTAATACAGCAATAATTAAAACAAAAATAAAGTTATATTATAATTTAATATATTTTACTAAATTTAAAACGAAAATGATTTTTATAAATTAGATTAATTATATTTCTGTTTTAATTATCATTACATTAACTGACGATGTTTGGTTGTACCTCGAGTACAGACTATTTTACCACTTGTGTTCACAAATTCAAGTCCCCTTCTTATGAATACTGTACATATTAGGAAAGGTATAGGAATTACTGTACTGTATATTAGATTTTTTGATAATCATATACAGTATGGTCTCAAAGTGTCTTTAAAATAGTAGACAATTCTCTCGAGTCAATCGCATTAGACTTATATGACATAAAGTCAATGTTAGCATCACTTCTCCAAAGACTTCCCGTCTATGTTCACGCTCTCTCCCTATCCCTCCCTCTATCTCTCTCCCTGACCATCATATCCTCATAACACTGAAGATCTCCAATCAAGATGAGGTCTGATTATAACAAAAATATAGCTCTAATGTACATTACAGTTAATGTAGACATTGAGAAATTATTAACATTAAGAAAGTATGTGTTTGACGTGTATTTATTGACAAAAACACATTAAACACCAAACATCTATTCTAATGAATGTATAGATTCCCATACAATTTCATTAAATTATTAATTAACAAAATAATAATTTGTAACATAAACACAAAAATAAATGAAAACACTGCCCAGGGATATTGACCGGTACGATATACCGCACTATAAATTTTCGTGTACTCGTATACAGTACAGTTTAGCCTTAAATTTCATAAAATAGTTAAGAGCAAATAAAACAATTCAAAAATCAATAAATTTTTACAATGTTCACTAATTTCGTGAAATATGCATTTTAATTAGACAATCATATACTGAATACATATGTCTATAATTTGTGGAACAGATTGGATGTGATTTTAGGGAAAGTCGGTTCAAAAGCCAAAGATGTATACGAATCTAAGATAAGTGTGGCCTCGAGGATAGTCAAAGTGGAAAGATCTGTAAGTGCTGTGAGTTGTGACCCAAATGTTGGATCTAATGTGATGTGAACTACAGGTGGAGGACATTGAGAACAAAATCGATCAGTTGATGGAAATGTATTTGGAAGACAGGGCCAGAATGAGCGCAATGGCCTTATCCGGGTCAGCCGGGTCAGGACAAGTGCCACTATTACCACATATCTCGTCCACATTACCTAACCATTCGCCTCCACCGCCACCGCCGAGTACTCCGGTGTTGCCATCGTTTCCAAACGGCTCATTATCTCCATTATCATCGCTGGCAAAGCCAAAGCCAATACTCATTGATAAGCAATCATCAGAACCTAATACTCCGATCGCCAGGAGTATCGAGAAGCAGATCCAAAGGGGGAACTCCGACTTAAGTCAGAGGTTTGTGAAAAAGCGGGTGACTCTGAGGCACTCGTTAGACACTGCGGTCAACCGGTGCTCCAGTGCTGGCACTCAACGAACTGTAAGCGAAGCCCATAGGAGTGCCAGAAGTGACTCTTCAATCATTGGCGGCATAATGTTGTCGTCGGCCACGGCCTCCGCACCAGCAATAAAGTTGGAGACAGATATGGACGCGAGTCATACGAATGCACAAAACGATTCGCGAGTCACTCTGTCTTCGGCCGACTCGGTCGACAGGGAAATGGTGTCCGAGTCGTCCACTTTGGGCACAGAACTCGAGTCCCTGTGCGTTAGCGATGAGATCGCTTCTGTTATGGGCAGAGAGTCGTCCGACTTTGACTACATCGACGACATACCCATGAGCTCAACCGTCAGCCGCAAGAGTAGCCAAGAGAGCTATACTACCAGTGCTCGCGAACAATACGATCGACTTTTAATACCGGAAATACCGGATACGGGCAACGAATCTGACTGTGAATTAAGTCAGACAACTGTCATTCACGCAGAAACACAATCATTGCTGAGTCCCATAAGCGGAACTCCACCAGAAACCACTAAATTGCACCCCAAATACCACCACCACCCACATCATAGTCACCATCATGCACACCATCACTACAAGTCATCACATCATCCAGACAATTTATAGCTATCCTAGAATTATTCAATTCAACTAGATTTATAATTATATTATATTATATAAATTATATAAATATTATATATGCTATATAAATACAGTATCTCCTAATTATATTTAGAACGTACATATACTGTATAGTGTACTGTATATATGTTTTATCATGATATTTATATACACTTATAATAATTACTATTATTATACTATTAATACTTAATTAATAATGAATACCTCTTTATTCTTAATAAATGCCATTATTATGGCTAATCTTTAGATATGAATTCACAATAAGTAAATTTTAAATTTATAACTATAAAACTAGTAATTATTACAAAATGATATCATAATTTATGGGAAATTTTATTACAAATTAATTACAAATTAAAGAATTGTTTTTTATTTAAGTTAATTATAGAATATTCTGAAATAATAACAATAAATACAGTCACTCAACACAACAGATCAAAAACCATATCAAAGTTTTGACAAATGTTTAATTAGTTAACAACAACCCACTATTATTACTGTTATTACTATTTTCCAAATAATTTAGTCAAATTAAATCAGAATTAAATAATTAAAGATTACACATATTTTATTGTAATATATTTATTGAACAACAATCCTATCAATCAATGCCTTTTGATTTTATAATTTTTGATCTGACTTTTAAAATGTTGTCACATTAAGATATACAGTACAGTATAATAAATCACGTTAAATATGATATAAACTCAATAAATCTATTGAACGAACTATTTGTGATAAAATCTTATGAATTTGTGTTTACTTTATGAGAACGATATTTGCATTTAAAAGTGATCAATAAATGAGTAATTAATCGATGAAATTGTTTTTTAGTTGATATTTAAAATGTTTATGAATCCTAAAACTGTAATTTTATGATATGATCTCATGATAAACATACTAATGACTAATGATTTGTTTTACAATCGCTGGCGCACACCACCACACAGTCTGTTATTATTACGTTATTTCTAATTTACATAAATATTAATAATAACTTAATGTATATCTTATATAATCTTTACTTATTTTATAAATGAATGATAAACTCAAGGTCTTATTATAACGTATATAAATAGAGTGATTGACTTTAATTTATTACTATAAACTTTAAAACAATTGTCATTCAGTAACATCTTACGATAACATCAATATTTTGCGAGTTTATAGACAACTATCAAAACTACTTTTAAATTACATTTACATCATTTAATATATTGTAAAATATTTGAATTGTTAATTGATTATTTGTTAAAATATTCTATAATATTATGTATTTTAAATATTTGTTTAAAATACACTTTGATATGAAAATACAGACTCTACAATTATATAATGACAAAATTATTTAAAAATATATTTGTCATGCTTGTCAAAATTTAATAAACTTGA